CATTCATCCAGGCTCATCTTCGAGAAGAACCAGTGAAACATCAACAATAATCAGCAGAGGTAATTAACTGTATTTTGTCCCTAAAATGTCGAGTTTTTCTACAAAATTCTAAAAAAGTTAGCCACGAAATGGAGTACTTACGAACACATTAGTCACTGGAAAGGAATTTCTCCAGCGCACAACACGAGGTTTTTATTTTTCAAAAAAGCGTAGACAAAAGGTGAAATTCAAAGGAGTGAAAAGGCACCCATTACTTATTGTTCCACTTTTGACTCACGGTGCTCCTGACTCACTTTTCTATTCGAATTCTAATTCCTCATCACATTCTTTAGTCTTTTACCTCCTCACTCCTCCCACATCCACCTCACTTTCCAGCCGCAGCTATTGCGAACAAATTGCACTTGTTTTTCATCGCCTATTCCCGTACTGTTGCGAGCACCAGTAAAAAATTGGCAAAATGGTGAAAAGTATTTGGTAACAACGACTTTGAATTATGGTATACTTGGCTGCTGTACAAACAAGTACAGAATTCCACTTGATATGCATGAAATACAAAAGCAAGTTATGTAATATGTAAATACACTACGATTCAAAGACTCTGGAGATGGTGAAAATGAAAGATCTGAATCCTTCGCAGAAAAATTCCGTGGCACCCACTATACGACCAATTTCAAAATATTACTGGCTGTTAACATGCAGTTTAGAGGATTAATATACTCAAAATTACACTAATTTATTCACTGATATGGTTTTTCTTGCAAATCTTTCAGATGAGACATTTTGGTTCTGTTGGTTTTCTTTTTCCTAACAGCTGTTTATCTTGTAAACTTTTCAAGCGATGACTTTTAATTTTGTTGATTTTCTGTCTCCTAACCGTTATCTGCACTTCCACAGGATCCGAAAAGCTGAGTGGCAGCTTGTGTTTTGACAAGGATCCGGACTGCACCAAGGAAACCTGCCGGGACTACCCGTTCACAGCGAAGGAGCGATGCGCAAAAACATGCGGACATTGTGGCGCTGGCTCAACATCAACTTCCATTTCATCCTCTTCCAGGATAGCTTCGGGTGAGATATCACCAAGCCGACATGCTTCTATTCGCACCAACGAACCCGGAGCTATCGGCGGTAGCAGTTCCCTTCATTCAAGCATACGTGGCGGATCACGCAGCTCCACCGACGACTCGCCTCCATACTCGACACTTGCTAGAGGTTCTGTACCATTTCACTGCTTTCATACATATTTCGCCTTAAGATCAACGCGAATATAAAGTGTCCCTGCAAATTTTTAGCTTTGCAGCTTGTCCAGTAAGCAAAATTGCTTCTTCGCTACAAGTATGCTTGACATGTACTGAGGCGTAGTGCAAATGCAATCCGAAACTCCTTTAGTTATATGATTTCCCAGATGAGAAATATTCTAACAAAACCTCAGACACTTTTCAAATTGGCATAATTTTAACCGCGAACATTGTCTTTGCCAATATTTACGACGAAAACGTTCGTGATAGCTGAATTTGAAATCTTTAACTTATACATGCACAAGAATATCCCTGCACAGCTCAGCTTCCTATCTCGTCTGTTTCCCGAAATCCTTTTGCGCCAAAGAAATTCGAATATTTTTTCGGGAGTCCGTATACGAGATCCAGGTGCGTATGAGCGATAATTTTAAAACGGGAGGATGACGTAGAGTAGGAATATGTTCCCAAAATTTCAAGCTTCCAGCTTTCCTGGTAGTTTAATTGAAAATGGGTGACACACACACACACACACACACACACACACGGGTGACCATTCGATAACGTGTGTTTTTGCATTTGCATACCATGTAAGAATGCATAAAAATAATTTTCAAAGTAAGCGGAGGACGAAAAACTCAGCAAGCTTCGAATTAATTAAATTTGATGGAATTTTGGAACTGTTAGCTGTGGAAATATTTGTAATAAATTTCGCACAGCCCAGATCTGTGAAGCAAAGCAATAAAAGCAAAGGAGCACATTTTAATAGTTCAATTTGCTTATCAATCGCAAACAGCAGAGGTTTGTTTCCAGGGAAAGAACTGGAATGCATCGATTTGGACACGGACTGCAGTCAAGATACCTGCAAGAATTATCCGTACACAGCCAAAGAACGCTGTGCCAAAACTTGCGGATTCTGTCGTAAGGAAGCAACTGGTGCAGCTTCCAGCCGACAATCCTCTCTGCCCGATTCACGTCGTGGCAGTACCATTTCGCACTCCTCTGCTGCAGGCTCAAGAAGAGGTTAGCTCATCTACTCCTAATCCCCGTATCGCCCTTTTTCGTTTTCGAAAGGACAGCCTGCGATACTGGTAGCAGTTGTTTCATTCTTCATAAATTTAT